ATATATATAAATATATATATTTCTTCTTTTATTTTATTTTTTCCGTGCGTGTGCCAAGACTAAATTGACAAAACTTTGTTTTACATTGTTTTGTAAGCATTAAAAGAATTGTGTTACTAAATGACAAAAATAACTTTAGTTTCACAACAATGTAAGCAAATGTATTTAATATAAAAATTTGCATTTTTAATTTTTGTTGACAAAGATTATTAAATTTTCAAAAATAAAGAATCGAAAATTTTCGTGAAATTTTTTTTTGCGTTATTTTTTTTATTTTGTGCGTATGTTTTTAGTACAATTTTCAAACAACTTATAAACAATTTTTAAAAAAATAATCGCCTTGCTTAGCTTAGATAAACAGTTTTTAGTTATATTTCCTATTTTGCCTTTTTGCTCCCCATCCTACCTTTCTTTTTCCTATACATAACAGAACTTCTTTGTTAAATTTTGAGACAGATCTTCAAATGCAACAATTTTCAGAACTTGCCACAGCAATCTAATACTATATTACAGAATGACGATTTTTGATAAACTTTATTTGATGGCATTATTGCTAGCTTTTTAGAATGATTTTACTCTGGTCTTAACAATTATATACATTTGAAAATTTTTAACTTCCAAATCTCATTTTCTTGGCATGTCACAAACAATATTTATAATAATTACTTGCTTTAAAACATCCCATACATTTTTCTCTACTTAATCGTTTTGCAACTAAACTTGTAAAAGCATTTCTAGAATCTTGCACAAGAAATAATTTCCAAAATATTTTGAAAAACAAGTTTTTCAGTCAATAATTTATATGTCACACAAAAATATGTCATTTTCCTGGCTACTTATTTCCACTTCTTTGTAATCTACATAAATGACTATAGCTCTGTTTACTTCTGCCATTTTCCTGCCTTCTCTAAATCATTAATAACATAAAATATATTATTCTGTCTGAGCTCTTTCAAAAAGCCATGTTGCTAACAACACTTGGAAGCTGCTCTATCTAATAAATATTTCTTCTTCTTCCTCAGCACTACAGCCTGTCACAGGTCAAGGGTCTGTTTCCATGAACCTCTTCTAACTCACAGTGTCTGGAGCAATATATTGCCATCGGCAGATTCCCAGGTTTCTTGTCAGAATCCACTAACCAGGTGGGGCCTTCCTCTTTTTCGTGTACCTTCTATTTTTGAAAAATTCCCTAATTTAATTGGATTTGAGTCCTTGTATCTATAAAGGTGTCCTAGCTATATAATGTGACTAGTTTGATAATTTATACAATACCTGGTTCTTTAAATCTACTGTTAATTTCATAATTATATTGTATTTTATCGATGTCATTTTGCTTAACCGCATCCAAGATTTTTCCAAGTATTTTTTCTCTCAAAAATCAGCAGCTTATATTTTACAGATTTATTTAATGGCCAGCACTCGCTTCCATACAAAGCAGTTAGTCTAATTAAGGTTTTGTTTAAGTTAATTTTTTTATTTTATTTTTCAACATTCATTGATAAATTTGAACTTGAATTACTTTCTCAATCCATATAGAAGCATCTATTTAATTTTATAAACTATGTTGAACAGCCGACCTAATTTTGGGTTTATGACTACTAATGTTCAACTCCGTAGCCTTTTGATTTTTAACCCTATCCAGAAGAGAAGGGAGCTCCTGGATCAAGTATTGGGAAAAATTTGCCTTCGTTGAGAACTTTTTAATGGAACTAACTTGCATTTGCGTTACATGGAGAGGAAAACCACAAAAACCTCCCACGGTTAGCTTGACGGCAAGGGGACTCTAATCCATGATCCGTCTACCGCTGAGCACATTTTACGACCGGACTGTGGTCGTTGCAAGACGGGTGCGGAATGCGCTTCGCTTCGATCAGCCGTTGTTGGAAATCGAACCCAGGTCATCTCTTTGGGAGGCGATCACTCAATCCCCTGAGCCACCACGACTCCCGAAACAATTATTCTCAATAAGTAACATTTAATAAATTTATAAGTTACATTTAATAAATGTTTTCTTTTTTAGAGCCACTTGAAAAGTTCTTCTTTCATTAGTGGACATAATCACACTTCAACGTAGATATTTTGTACAACTTTTGTATTAACCCACGTGAATTGTGTATTTAGAATAACTCATAATTTACTGCAGCTAATTCTTCGATTTTCCTTTTACTCTTTGTAACTGAGCTGTTAAAATAAAAGGTAGGAAATTAAAATTTTGAGTTATTCTCATTTTTTTAACAAATGACAAAAAAACATTTATTTGCCATAAGTAACATTTAATAAATATTATTTAAACAACTTCATTATTTGTTTAAAAGATGAGAACAATTGAAAATTTTAACTTCCAGCCTTTTATTTTAATAGCTACAAGAAGCTGTAAAAGGAAAATAGAAGAAATGGTAGCAGTAAATTATGAGTTATTCCTAATACTCAATACGCAAGGGTTAATATAAAAGTAGTACAAAATGTCTACATTAAAATGTGATAATGTTCACTAATAAAAGAAAACATTTTCGACTATGCAATGCAGAGGAAGATATTATTCTCAAATCCCTGTGGAAACAGAAGATTGCAGTTTCAGTTCGGCGACTTCCTTTAAAATCGTTATAACTTCACATAAATCTTATATTTAAATAAAATTTATCCAGTATAACTGCGTATTTATTATTTGAAAATTATTTTAATAGTTTCTAACGTATGTGGTACGCCGGATGCACTGTGTGTGATCATGAATCTGCTTATAACTCTAAACTTTTTTGTTATTTTTCTGGCATTAAAAATTTAGAAAATTTCTATTTTAAATCTTTTCTGGCATAAAAGTAGTAAATCACGCTGCTTTCTATAAGGCATTTATTGGTTAACTAAATCTATATGTATTAAAAAAAAATTAAACTATTATGAAGATTTCAAAATTTTAAAAAAAATTTCTAATTGTCATATTTTAATCGAGTATTATAATTCAATTAGCAGAATAATTTCCAATTTTTTTCCAACGATCATGAAATATTTTTTTTTAGTAATTTTGGGCTTCAATTTAAAACTTATAACTTTATAATGCAATTTTTAAAACAAAATAAAAGAAGTTAAGATAAATTTTTTGTATACAAATTCTTCAACTAGAATTCAAAATAGTGATATTTCTTAAGATTGATACTTCGTATCGTGATCCATGGTGTACTACGTAAATTAATGAAGCTATGCACATGATTAATTAAGTTATTTCAGTCATCGTTTCCGTAGTGTAGTGGTTATCACGTGCGCTTCACACGCGCAAGGTCCCCGGTTCGATCCCGGGCGGAAACAGTACATGTTTTTTTTTTTTTTTTTTAAATCTTCAGATTGCATATCCCTGATATTTATCTCGATTTTTACAAGTGAGGTATAACAATGTATGTAAATTTGTGTCGATAATTACATTTATCATTTATTCATAATTTTAAAGTTATTCATTATTTTAATTCAAATATAGAATTTACTACTATAAAAAAATTAGCAAATTTAAATCTTTTACTAAAAATGTTTTAAAAAACAGAAAAATTTTTAAACAAAGATTTTAAATTATCAGAAATAGGCAATTTAAATAAAAAAATTTTTTTTCTTCATTTCATAAATACTTATAAAAACGCTTCTGCTTCGTAATAAAATAGCAATTTTCATTCGAATTATTAATTAAATGATAATAACATACAATTTATAACAACAATTAATTATTAGCATGGTAGTTACTAATTACTATTTTACATGTTTAATCATTATTTGTGTCATTTGTTTTTTAAATTCCTATTCTTTCAATAAATGATTTTCAAGCAATAGATGGCAATAATAACATGAACATTGTACTATTAATAAATTTCGAAACTTTTTAAATTCTAATTTCGAAATTTAAACAATTCGAAAACATAAAAATTGAATATAAATATAAGTAAGTCAAAATATTTATATTAAATAACTGATTCAGAATAATATCCCTATAATTTTGAAAAAATTTTCTACTTCATTATCCATTATTATTTCCGTATGAACCAATACATTTCTACTACATTTCATCAAAGTTTTTATTTTATTTTTTATAACTGCTTTTTCATAAAATTTCAGAAGTGTAATAAATCCTATAAATTCTAAATAAGCTTTTTTTTTTAAAGTACCATCAGAAATATACAGCAGATAAAAATATAGATCGATAAATAGAGATGACTATGTAATCTTTTCATACAAAACATTGGTAAATGAGTAACC